CCCCCCCCCCCCCCCGGCCCTGGGTCCCACAGCCATTTCCAAGGCACAGTCACCACACGGCACACAGGACCGAGTTTGTCATTCCCATGCTGGTGTCTTTCAACGCCTTGAGCCTCAAAGAAAACATCACAAAGGGACTCCTTCGGTTGTACCTTCCATCAGGTGGTCTCTCAAAAGTAACCACAAAAGAAAACTACCTCCCCTCCCCTCCCCCCTACCTCCCCTGCCCCAACCTCCCCTAACCCCCACGTACCCTCCCCTACCTCCTACCTCCCCTAACTGCTACCCCCCTACCCCCACTTCCTTAGCACAAGTCTTCTTGTGTGGCCAACAATAAGACACCCCATTTCTGAATTAGAGATGGTTCCTGCCTTTCTAGCCTCAGTGGGGTCAAAGAGATGTGGAAAGAGGTGTTCTGAGGAGAAACACAAAGGCCCTTTGGGGCCCTTGGGAGAGGCAATGGGGTGGCAGAGAGCCCACATCAGCTGTCGCTCTGCCTCTGCAGGTGTGGAAGGCGGTGGGCTGGCGGCTCATCGCCCTGTCCTTTGGGCTCTATGGCCTCCTCTACGTCTACGAGCGTCTCACCTGGACCACCAAGGCCAAGGAGAGGGCTTTCAAGCGTCAGTTTGTAGAGTATGCCAGCGAGAAGCTGCAGCTCATCATCAGCTACACCGGCTCCAACTGCAGCCACCAAGTCCAGCAGTGAGTGGATCCCCACCCCCCTCGCTGAGGGCCCGGCGCCGGCTCCTGTGGTTCAGGACTTCCCTCTGGCTTCCCTTGGACCTGGCCTGGGAACCGCTGGATCCCGAGCACCATCTGACACTGGCCTTTGGCCGTGCAGTGTCGGCTCTGGGACCAGGGATGGGGAGAGCGCTCTTTCCAGGGACAGCCTGTGTCCAGGCCTGTGTTCCCCCAAGGAAGGAAGGTGTGGGCAGATGCAGATGTTACTTGCAGTGATTTTTAAAGATTTATAGGCAGAGCTTTGAAATTGGCTCCAGTCCCGGCTTCCCGGCACAGTTTGGGACAGCAGGGGCCCAGGCTGCTTGGCTTGGTGGGTCGGGGCGGGAGGGGTGCCGACCCGCCTGCGTCATTCTGCCGCGTGCTGGGCCCTTTGCTTGCACCTAGTTTTTCATTTTTCTCTGTGAGCCCTTTGAAGTAGACATTGTGCTGGCATCTCCTTTTTCCAGATGGGGAGACCGAGGCTCAAGGAGTGGTCCCTTCCCCCCTGCCACTTGGTGATTAGCGCCAGAGCCGAGATCTGATTCCTGGCCTGGGTGCCCAAGGCAGTGTGCTCCTGGCTCTTTCACCGTGGTGGTGCTGAGCGCGTGTGGCGTGTGTGGTCTCGGCAGTGGGTGGGGAAGATTCCGCCGCCCCGGGAGGTACGGGGCAGAGCCGCCAGCAGCAGGCTGGTCGGATTTAGCCAACGACTGTGTTCTGCAAACCAGCCATGTTGACCCCGTTGATCCCGACTCTCTCCCACTCAGGGAACTGTCCGGGACCTTTGCTCATCTGTGCCAGCAAGTTGACGTGACCCGGGAGAACCTGGAGCAGGAGATTGCTGCCATGAACAAGAAAATCGAGGTTCTTAATTCACTTCAGAGCAAAGCCAAACTGCTCAGGTGAGGGTGCCCTGGGAGGCCAGAGGCAGTGGGTGCTGTGTGCGGCCGGGCGCAGTGGTATTTTTGGCTGCTTGTCTGTGTCTTGCGTGGACATGAACTTCACTCCGCGTTAGATGTTGGTTGGCATCTGCTGGGCGCCAGATACGGTGCCAGCGCCAGAGGTTCAACAAGATATAGGGTCACTGCCCTGCAGACGCTTTCAGTCAGGACCTCGGTGGTGGCAGAGGAACCAAGCGGTAGGGACCATGAAGTGACCACTCAGGGCACCTTCTCCTTCAGTGGCATCTCGGGCACTTGACGGGCACTGTGCCGCTCAACTGTCAGCGTCCCTTCAGGGCCATGTTCTCCATCTCTGGTTTCTTTCTTTTTTTTTAATTTAATTTTTTAAACGTTTATTTATTTTCAAAAGCAAGAGAAACAGTGTGAGCGGGGGAGGGGCAGAGAGAGAGGGAGACATAGACTCTGAAGCAGGCTCCAGGCTGCGGGCTGTCAGCACAGAGCCCCATGAGGGGTTTGAACTCACAAACTTTGATATCATGACCTGAGCTGAAATTGGATGCTTAACTGACTGAGCCCGCCAGGCGCCCCCATCTCCATTTTCTAAAGGGGAAATTGGGGCCTCCAGGAGTTAGGTAACTTGTCTGGGGCCCCACAGGCAGCAGCGAGGCCTGGAGTAGAGGGCCCAGGTATGTGCAGCTTCAGCGCCCGGGACACCCTGCACTTGATGGTCTTTCACCGACTACCGTGCACGGGGTCTCTGGACTGGACCCGCCCGCGTTTTACTCCATTTCTCTCTGAGCCCAGGGAAGGGGCCACGTTGGCATGGTTACCCGTCAGAAAGCTGGTCAGGCAGCTGGTGACGGGCAGAGTGCGCACTGGTGCTTGCGGGCTCCCTGTGGAGAGTCGGAGCTTCTGTCTGCGCTTTGCTGGAGGGATCAGTCTAAGGAGCCGGAGGCCTGGGTTCTGGGCAGATCACTGAGCTTTCTTATGTCTCACTGTTTTCATCTGTTAAATGGAGCAGGATTTCATGACAGAGCCACAGAGCTGAGCCAAAGAGCGCGCTGCAAAGGTCCTCAGCCCGCACAGCCCGAGATAACATCAGCACCCGGGGACCCTGCGCTTCCTGCCCCCGCCCCTGACGTCAGTGCCAGCCCTCTGGGCAAATAGTGGACTTTCCCTCACTGACATTGCAGATGTGCCCTCCCCGCCCACCCCTGGGCTAGTCAGTTTCTGGGTCGCCTCACGGGGTGTGTGTGTGGTGGACGACGTCTCTGCTGCTCATCGCCCACAGGGACAGGGTGACCCTGTAAGGGCCCCTTATCCCGTGACTCAGCCTCTCACCCACAGGCAGGAAAACTGACTTCCGAACCATTTGGGGGCCTGCCCTGGTCAGGTGAGGCCACCACAGCGCTTGAACGTCAGACGGGCCTGACTTTGGGCTCCACTGCCGATTAATCGCGATTGTAGGAAGTTATGGGAGTTCTCTGGGCCTCTGTCCCTCCTCTGTGAGGTGGGGGGTTATTAGAAGAGCCAGTGAGGCGATGAGTTGGGTGTCCTTCTAACTGTACCCTGTGTGTCACCTGCTGGCAGCTGTTCGCACTACAAAGTAACCCTTTCCCCACAGGAACAAAGCCGGCTGGTTGGACAGCGAGCTCAACATGTTCACGCACCAGTACCTGCAGCCCAGCAGATAGTGGGTGGCCTGGCGCCGGGCCGCGGGGAGGGCCCCCAGCAGCTCCGGCCGCTGCTGCCACCGTGAGAACGAAAGCACCCCCGTCTCATACCATTTTGAGCCCCTTAAACGCTAGTTCCCCCCATTTGCCTGCCGTTGCAGGAAGATCTTCAGGCTCGTACCCCTAAAAGGAGACTTTTTTTGTTGTTACTGATGAGCATGGGCAGCACGGTACCGAGGAATCGAGTCTTTGCTTTGTCAGCTGCGCTTGATGGTGATCCATCCGAATGCTTGACGGGGTCTTGGGATCTGCCGGTGCCCCTGAGGGCATCGGGCAGACCCCGACCTCGGCGACGCTCATCCTGACCTCGCACGTGGCGGCTCTGCACCCACTCTTCACCCGCAGAGAAGGGCCACCCGGGGAGGTGGACTTCTCCCTGGATCGCACCGGAGCACGTTCCCAGCGGGGCTGCTGCCTGCGCATCAGGCCCTGCGGCTTCGGCTTCGGCGCTGCGCCCCGCTGGCAGAGTGGTTCCCACGCGTCGTGGGGGTGGGGCTTAGGCCGAGACAGGGCCTTGTGCCATAAGGTGGCGGGAGAGATACTGCGGGAGAGATCCTGCGGAAGGCTGGGGGAGGGTCGGTGGCTGAGGGGAGGGGGCGCATGCAGAGAGCAGGTAGCTGGTACCACGATGAGGAGGAGCTTGGCCTCCCTTTTCTTTACTGCGTCCCCTGTCCTGTTTTCAGTCTTTAGCCTGTGTTGTCCGGTTTTGTTATTGATCATAGGTGGTTTGGTCCAGAACGTTAAAGGATGTAGCAGAAGGCAAGATGGTGGAGGGAGGGGGCCACCCCATCCAGGGTGGCTGGAGAATTGTGGAGTCCACGGGGAGCAGGGCCCTCTGACCTTGCCCTGTGAGGGGCTCACGGGCTCTGAGAGTTCACACGGTTAGCTTGACTGCATCCCCGTTATGCCCCCCGCCTCGGCCCAGGCTGTCCTTGGCCACCAGTCAGCCCCCTGGACTGAGTCTCCTGCGCCGGTGAGGCTGCAGTTGGCCGAGAGACAGCGTGGGAAACCCGGCAGTCACCCTCCCTGACCCCCAGAGCCTCTTCCCCTCATCTGGCCTCGCGGTGACCTTGAGAAATGTTTCCTGTTGAGTTTGGGATTGTTACTGGTTGGAGTGGGGGGCAGGTTCCTGTCTCCAAGGTGTTAACTGGGGCAGGCAGCCTGTGCAGCTCGGGTCGGAGACCTTCCTAGAAACCAGCTACGTTAGCTCTCCCAGAAAGAGGTGGGGCTCGGGCAGAGGGGTGGGGCCTGTCCTCTTGAATCCCCCCGCCCCCGCCCCCCAGCTTCCGGGAAATGAGTTGGTGGCCTCTGCTTACCGGTGGGCAGCCACGCGGGTGGCATCTGCTCCAGGTGCCCGCCTGTCCTTCAGACCTTCAGTGGACGGCGTGTGGGACCGAGTGCTGGACTCTGCCTAGACGGGCACACGCCAGGGGGATGTTCTGAGTTTTTGCCAGGCCTAGACGGTGGCCACTTCACCGCGTGTCGGGAGGAATTAGCGTCACACAATGCCAATGAACTTTGTGCTTTTCGGGGGGGAAACATATTTTTATTTAGAATAACTCAACATGAATTTTTTTGAATGTAGCCCCCGGGCAGTGAATGGAATTTTGAGTTTCTTATACAATAAGTAAAATTAAATGTATCCCACTGAGGGAAAGACTCTGACCGAAGTGTGGCAGAAAGCACTTTAATTTAATGCTGCTAACTTTGTTTTCTGTCTTTACATTCATTTGCTGGCGTGTGAGACGTGCTTGACACAGTGAGTTTTTCCTCTGATGTATTTAAGGTGGTATATTAGCCTGAATTACTCCTGTATCATTGCTGATAATATTGGAACTAAAATAAAACCTAGTTGGAAACCCTCTGTGGCATCTTCAGTTTACCGTTCTTACACAAACCAAGTCTGCAGGCCGTATTTTGAGATGACCTTAAGTTTATTTAGGGGAAGTTCCAACTGTAATCTTCCTGTGGGTTCCTCTGCCTCTTGGAAGGACGCTGATACTCTCAGAAGAGCAAGAGGCAGAACTGATCTTTGAGAACCAGAAATCTAGAGTGATTTCTTTACAGATTTCGCTGTAACTCCAAGCCATTCATTTTTCACTTACAAAGCAATGACTCAGACTGGCCCACCCTAGTTTGCCTTCTGAGAACTTGGTTGTGAGCTTTTCTTTTCTGGTTTTTGAAGGGCCCGCAGCAGGGACGGGGCCGTCTCCCTGGCCCCGCACACCTGTCCCCCCCCACCCGGCCCCCCCCCCGGCTCTGGTGCCCCCACTCCCTGCACGGTGGTGGGTGGGAGCCTCATCCCACCACGTTCCCAGGCCATAAACTTGGGGACCATCCTGGACTCCGGGGGCCCCTCACTTCATCTGACCTGTCAGTTCCGTTCTTCAAAATACCACCAGACCCCGGCCACTTCCCTGGTCCCTCGCAGCCCCTGCACTGCCACCTAACCCGCCCCCTCCTCCCACGCCTGCCCTGTTGTGCTTGTTCCAAGGCAGCAGGCAGCCAGTGACTTTGCCGTAGATTTGAACTAGAACTCGGCTCACATTACTCCTCTACCCTGGCTCCTGTCCCACCCAGAACAGGCCCAAATCTCCCCCGGTGGCCTTTCGGGGTCTGCACCGCCTCTGTCCACTCCTGGCTCCCTGGCACCCTCTGCTTTGGCCGAGCTGGCTCCTTGCTGTTTGGACCCGCTCGGCACATACCTTAAGTCTTTGCACAGGCTGACCCTCTTCCTGTTCCTCTAGACATGGCTGCGGCCAATCCTTTACCTGCAAGCCCGTTGGAACGTTCTCTCATTGGGTCTACCCGGACCACCCTATTTAAAATCCCTCTCTCTGTCCCTGTTGCCTGGCACTTCTCAGGACCCTTGCCCTGCAGTGTACGGAATCGACGTGCTTCCTAACGGCTGTCCCCCAGCACCTAATGCTGTTTTGTGTGTCCACATGCTGCAGTGTAAGCCCTGCAAAGCCTGAGGGTTTTGTCTGTTCTGCCCATTGATCTGTGCCAAGCGTCCAGTCCAGGGCCTGGCACAGAATCAGAACTCAGTAACTACCTGTTGAATTAACAAATCCTGTCCTGATAACACACATTATTAGCCCTCCAGGGTTGGGGGCCAGAGTTATCAAATGTTCCTGGAAACTTCCTGAAAGTAAGCATGCCACTAAGGGCTTTGAAATGTTCAAATCCCAGCAGCCGGAGGGGCTGATGGAGCCTGGATTAGAGCCCAAGTCCTAATTTCCCTGAAACCCGGTGCCTTTCAAACTTTTTTTTTACCCTTACCCACAATTAGAAACATGATGAACCAGCACATACACGTATAAGTACGTGGTGAACCCAAAATTTCTGATCACTCAGTACCCTTTCTCTGTGACACAACTATTTTCTCTTCAGCTGCTATCTGCAATGCACCAACTGCTTCCCAGCTACTCTGTGGCGATGACCCATCTTTTTAAAAGACGTGTTCTGTGCGGTTCCCCACTCGGCACCGCCTCGTTCTCTGTCCCCAGTCAGGACCAGATGCCTGTGGTTTCTCAGCCTACCTCATCTGCCCACTGAGAGTTCTGAGGAATCCAAGAGGTGGGACTTCGGTCCTCCAGTAACAGCATCCCTATTTAGTCACAAAGGATGTAGCCAGAATGTACCCCTTCTTCCAAGCTTGGGCCCTCTTCACAGATGTCATCTAAATCCACTCTGTCCTCCATAACAGAGATCTCTGTCTCTGGTTCAGACTCTCAGGCTTGAGACGAGAACAGCCAACTTTTAATGAGAACTTGGGGCGTGTATACTCATGCACCCAAATTTCCCCCCAAAATATCAGTGACTTTTTTGCCTCTTTGTGCAAATGAGGAAGTTCACTAATTCAGTGAAGTATTTGAGTGCCTACTCTATGCTAAGGAGCACAGTGCAAAGCATTAGAAATAGCAGCAGCGAATAGGTGGATAAAAATTTTTTTTTTTTTTTTTTTAACGTTTAGTTTTGAGAGAGAGACAGAGTGAGAGCAGGGGAGGGGCAGAGAGAGAGACACAGGATCCAAAGCAGGCTCCAGGCTCTGAGCTGTCTGCACAGAGCCTGATGTGGGGCTTGAACTCACGAGCTGTGAGATCATGACCTGAGCCATAGTTGGATGCTCAAACCAACTGAGCCACCCAGGCGCCCCCCAAATTTGTTTTTTTTAGAGCCAGTATGCTAGTGGGGGGAAGGCAGACCATAGGCCAAACCCATTGAGTGAAAGACATAGTATGTCAGAAGGACTGTGGGGGAAGACGAGTGAGGCAGGGCAGGGTATGGGAGTGTGGTTGGGGTAGGCCTATGAGCAGTGCTTCTTGGGCCATTCCAGCACTTGCCCTGGTGCACACAGGACCCGTTACGTGGGCCTCGTGTATAGGGGACCTGCTGTGTGGGCTGAGCCGGCGCACGGCTCTGTAGAAATTGCCCAGCAGCTCTGCATCAGCAGATGCTCCCCCTCCTCGCCAGCTAGACTGTGTCAGCTCTTCCAAGTTTGGTCTTTCTGCTGTAACGGGCTTTATTTGCATTTCCTTGGTGACTGGTGAGGCCGAGCACCTCTCACACCCCAGCTATCCTCTCTGTCAGGGGTGATGTGCCTCTCCCATCTTCTGTCCATTTCCCTGTCTTGTTCAGATCTTCTCCCATTCGGTGGCTCCTTTTCCATTCTTCTCATGGTGTCTTTTGATGAGAAGTTCTTAATTCAGTCCAATTTATCAAGACAACATTTGGAGGAAGACAGTGGGGAATGAAACGGGTTCTGTGGATATCTGGGGCAATGTGTTCTAGACAGAGGGACCGGCATGTGCAAAGACCCTGCGGTAGGAGCATGCCCAACATCTTTAACCAAATGAGACCAGTGTGGCTGGAGCAGAACGATGGAGGGAGAGATTAGTAGGAGATTAGGTGTAAAACAGAACTGGAAGCAGACCAGGATCGTACGGATAAGGACTTTGGCTTTACTCTCAGTGAGGTAGATGGGATTGGAGAGCTTTGAGCAGAGGAGTCACAGGAGCTGACTTCCAGCCCAGGTCCTGTGGTGGAGGTGGTGAAAAGCGCTCAGGTTCTGGAGGCCTTTTGAGGACAGAAATGATGCGATGATGTGCTGACAGACGTCACATCATGAGCCATGGATCATTCAGGCTCCTGGGCACATGGGGGGATGGGGAGAGCTGCAGTGGAGCAGGTTTGGGGGAAATCAGGAGTTCCGTGTTGGACACGTTCAACTTAAGGTCCCTCTTCATTAGTTGGATATGAGAACTTGGAGTTCGGGTGGAGTCTGGCCCAGAGATAACGCATTTGGGAGTCAGCACGTGGATGGTGCCTTGGCCAGGCTTCCCCAGAAAGCAGAGCCTCAAGCAGAAGGCTCACGCGCCCTCATTTTATTCTGCAGAACAACCCCAGGGAGCAGGAAGGGAGGGAGGCAGAGAAAATCAGGAAGGAGGTCTACCAGAAGGATGCTTTATAGAGTTGGCCACCATTAACTGTCCCTGCAGAATAATGGGCTGTGACCTTGAGACGCCAGGCGCCATTATTGGTGGGGAGGAAGGGGGAAGAATTTATCCAGTATTTCTCTCTTCCCATTGGTTGAAGCTTTGCCCCATGGGGCACTGACTCTGCATTCTGCGTCGCACATATGAATGTTGGGCGCCACGGTGGATGGTGGAGGTGAGGGGCACGGGCTCTGGCTGGGGGACGGGCACGGGCTGGGGGTGTGGTGTGGGCAGGCTGTGCTCGCTGCAACTCACTCAGCCCAGGCAGAGCTAGTGCACGAGGCAAGTGAGGCCGGGAGGGGCCCAAGGCGTGTAGCAGGCGTGTGCAAAACAGCCCACCCCGCAAATCACTCAGAGCTGTGCTTGCTTTCTCTCCCTTCTTTCCTGAGAGCGGGCAGGGTCTGAGTCTGACCCAGCAGAGCCCTACAAGGTGGTAGCCAGCAGTCTCTTTCTCAGGGGACTGGTGGCCCTAGCTACAGCCCTGCTGCTACAGCTGGTCCCTCGACCACGCCCATCATAGATCTCCCTTTTCCCTTACGCTGCCCCTGCTCTGGTCATGTCCTGGTGGGGTGATCCAGACTTCATCCCTGGGGATCCCAGCCCTCGGCTGTCATGCCCTGGACGGGCTGTGATCGCCACACTTACTGTTACCAGTGGGTGTGGAGACACTGAGAGACAGACACCCAAGGGCGTCCCTGACACCTCCCTGCCCCACTGCGCGGCTCTGGGTCCTCAGGGTGATCCCATAGGCCTGCTGGTCTGCCAGCGGGACGGGGACAGTGAGTGGGTCACATCTTCTAGTTGGGACCCTACTGTGTCCCTGGGCAGACACTTCCTGCCCCCAGGCACAGGAAACATAAAGCCCAGAAGTGGGTCATGGAGTGATAGGGGGTGAGGCCTTCTGACTTCCACCCTCTGCTTCCTGTGCCCATATGTGTAGCCGCAGGGGACATCGTGGCACATCTCAGCTCCTTGGAGAAAAGAGCTGCGAGGTATGGTCCCTGAGTTTGGCCCTTCCAGGCTATGCCACCTGGGTGTTGGGTTCTTGGTAAGATCGCTGCATCCTTTAGTCAGATGCCCATTGTTCCACATTTTGCCAAAAAAATGGGTCCATTCGTGTGAGGCCATGTGCCTATACCAGGTTACTACATCAGGTGGTCTAAAGCCCTCACCTGGTGGTGTGGGTGAGTGCCCCACAAGCGGGTTGGGGGAGCTGGTATCTGGAGCAGCGTCAATTTCAATAAATACAAACGGCCCCCTTCCATCAGGGGACTGATGCTATCGATCTGCTACCAGTGGCTGGCTGGTCTCTTGGAGACGGCATATTGAGGGCTCAGCTTTGGTCCTGCTTTGGCAGACCAGGCATTCAGCGGCAGAAGGACCTTCATGGGCCTTCGTGAGAGGAGCCCAGGCCACTTTACCCCCCTATTCATGGCTGCTCTGTCTGTCTGTCTGTCATTGGACCCACTGTACTCGCTCTAGGGTGGCTGAGGAGGAAGACATGCTGACATCTAGCAGCACATCCTCCCTTCCAGCTGCTTTTTTTTTTTTTAAGTGTTTATTTATTTTGAGAGAGATAGAGTGCAAGCAGGAGAGGGGCAGAGAGAGAGGGAGAGAGAGAACTGGACGCAGGCTCTGCACTGTCAGTGCAGAGCCTGATGCAGGGCTCAAACTCAGGAACCGTGAGACCATGAATTGAGCTGAAATCAAGAGGTGGATGCTCAACCCACTGAGCCAGCCAGCCGCCCCACTCCTGCTGTTTGTGGACCAACCTTCTGCCCTGCGGGGGATATTCTCTGATGGATGTGAAACATAGGACAGAGACTTCATCCGTTGCGCCCCTCTCACTGGTTATCACCGGTTCATCTTCCTGCCCCTTCCCCAGTTCTCCTGCGCCCCGTCTTCCAGACTTTTCCTCTCAGCTTCCTGACTGCCAGCCATTTGCCAGCACCCAGGGCACTGTGTGTGTCTGTTCCTCGGGCCGTCCATCCCTCTTTCTGCGTGGGTGACCAAGTGTGCAGCGCACAGCTGTGTCCACTGGGGCAAGGATTAGGCTTTGTTTTGTCCTCAGGGCCACTCCGGAGAGGGCATGGTGGCCCGAGAGTGGCAGCTGTCCATTCCGGCTACTACAGACACACTGTGCCCAGTGAGGCCAAGTTCTTGTTTACTTGCTTCACTTTTTTTTAAAAATTTTTTTTTAAATCTTTTATTTATTTCTAGGAGAGAGAGAGACAGTGTGAGCAGGGGAATGTCAGAGAGAGAGGGAGTCACAGACTGAAACAGTCTCCAGGCTCTGAGCTGGCAGTCAGCACAGAGCCCGACGCGGGGCCCGAACCCACGAACCGCAAGATCATGACCGAAGCGAATGTCGGACGCTTAACCGACTAAGCCGCCCAGGTGCCCCTACTTGCTTCACGTCTTTTAACAACTGTATCGAGTATTTATTTATTTATTTAAAAGTAAGCTCTACACCCAACATGGGGCTTGACCTAACCACCCTGAGATCAAAAGTCATATGCTCTACCAACTGAGCTAGCCAGGCACTCCTGTCAAAATATAATTTTATAGGGGCGCCTGGGTGGCTCAGTTCATTAAGTGTCCGACTTGATTTTGGCTCCAGTCATGATTCCATGGTTCATGCGATCGAGCCCTGGGCTGGGCTCTGCACTGCAGAGCACAGCTTGGGATTTTCTCTCTCTCCTCTCTCTGCCCTTCCCTCCCCACCTTCTCTCAAAATAATTAAACATACATTTAAAAAGCTACAATTTATATAGAGCGAACTGCACATTTAAACTGTACAGTTTAATAACCTTAGACATATATATGCACCACACGCACCATGAGACCATCACCACGACGAAGACAGCGAACGTTACCCGTCACTGCCAAGCTTCCCTCCTTGCCCTTTATCCTGCTTCCTTCCACTCCATCTCCTAGCAACCACTTAGCTTCCTATCGCTATACAGCTATAGATCAGTTTACATTTTCTAAAGTTTTATACAGACGGAAGATACAATATGTACTCTTTCTTTTCCATGCAGCATAATTATCTCGAGATGCATCCATATTGTGCATATCAATAATTTATTCATTTTTATTGCTGAGTAGTATCCGTTGTATGGATATACCGTGATTTGTTTATCCATCTACCTATTGACAGACGTTTGGATAAAGCTGCTATGAACACTCCTATGCAACTCTGTATGGACAATTTTTTTTCTTCTTGGATAAATGCTTAGAAGTAGAGTGACTGGATTGTACAGAGGGTACGAATTCATTTAAAAAAAAACCAGCTTTATTGAGGTGTAATTTACATACCATCATATCCAATCATTTAAGTAAGTTTACAAGGCTGTGCAGCCTTCACCACAATCCGATTTTAAAACGTGTCCATCACTCCAAAATGATCCCTCTCTCTCCCTTTCTTTTCCTTTTTCCTTCCTCCCTTTTACCCTTTCTTCCTGTTGATTTGCTGAATTACACTGATTGGTTTTTAAATGTTCTGAGCAAGTCACTTCATCTCTTACGACTTCGTTTTTGTTTTCTCTGTGAAACGGGGCTGGAATGCACCAGCCTATGGAAAAATAGCGGGAACACAGCACTCCGCACACATTATAGGTATCTGTGTCCGTGCTTTACCCATTGCCTCTCCCTTTCCTCCAGGCAGGGACCCCTCTTCATTCTTCTCTGCCTCCCAGTGCCTAGTACAGTGCCTGTTGGCACAAAGTAGGCACGATAAATGCCGGAAAGAAAGTACGGAAGAACCGGTGTCCAGCCGCCGCCTGCCCCAGCTCCGCCCGGCGTCCCTCCGCTGAATTCCGCTTGGTGGGAGCGGCGCCAGGTACAGACTCTGGAAACTGCCGTAGCCAAATGCTGCGTGTCTGGCCGCCCCATCCTGACCAATCGGAGTTCGCCCTCCGGGAGCCCGCCCCATTCCGACAGTGGACGTCCAGTACGCGACCTCGGCAGTTGACCAATCAGCTGTTGAGTCCCTCTGTTAGTCCCGCCCCAATGTTGAAACTGCCGCTTCTGAATGCCGAGTAACTTTCGCAGGAGCGTCCGACTCCGCCCGCAACCTGACCAATCAGAGTGGCCGGATCGGGCCCCGCCCACAGCCGGTGAAGCGTGGGGCAGGCAGGGCGGAACTCCGGGCTACGAAAGCTGCAGCGGGCTTGCGGCTCTCCGGGTTTCCAGGTTTCCAGGAGGTGAGGGCGGGAGCTGCGGGGCGGGTGTGGGGAGGAAGGATTCGGCGGGGGGCCCCACGTGCGCCCCCGCGGAGGATCCGGGGACCGCGATGAGAAGGAAGGCGGTAGCCTCCCTTTCCCGGGAGCCTCCGGCAGTTTTGCTGCCCTGTGTTGTGAACGTCGCCTTCCTGTTGCGTTTGCGCAGCTGTTAGCTTCCCAGAGCGCGGCCGGAGCCAGGATCGTCTATACTCGGGACGCGTGTGTGGGGGGAGTGTCCGGTGTAGTCTAGTTTCTTTCGGCCTCAGCCCCTGCAGCCTGCCCTTGAGAAGGGGGCTCCTGGTGAGGGCGATCCAGGTGTGTGGGTGGGAGGGAGGGTTGGGGGCCGGGCCGGGTTTCTGTGAGTAGGGTCTGGCCCGACCCAGTGTTAAAACAGGGATGGGGCACGTTGAGGGACCCCGGGTTTCTGGGTGGAGCCTGGGCCTGGGGCCCTGAGAGGGTTAGGCAGTCCCTCCCCCTAGTCTGCAGAAATCCCTTCCAGAACATCTGTTCCTGAACTGGATCCTGCGCGGGGTAAAGAGTGAGGAGAGAAGGCTTCCCAAGCACCTCTCTGCCCAAGAAAGAAGCTGGAGTGAGCATGGACCCTGTAGCCAGATTTGGGTTCAAATCCTGGCTTTGTCACTTACTAGCTGTGTGACGTGGGGCAAGTTGGCTAACTTTTCTGAACTTTGGTTTCTTTTTTTTTTTTTAATGTTTTATTTATTTCTAGGAGAGAGAGAGACAGCGTGAACAGGGGAGGGTGGGAGAGAGAGGGAGACACAGAATTGGAAAACAGGCTCCAGGCTCTGAGCTGGCAGTCAGCATAGAGCCTGACGCGGCACTTGAACCCACGAACCGTGAGATCATGACCTAAGCGAAAGTTGGACGCTTAACCGACTATGCCACCCAGGCGCCCCTGAACTTTGGTTTCTTCATTTGTAAAAAGGAAGGGAAGATGCATATTATCCTAATTCATTGTTAAAGGGGGAGTGTTCTCTTTCGGCATGTAAGTGAACACACTATGGCCAATTTAATAATAGATATTTATGGGATGCTCACTATGTGCTCACTAGGTCCCATACTAAGGTTTAACATGCATTATCTCATTTAATCCCTACGGTAACGCACCCTCTCTCTCAAAAATAAACAAACTTAAAACAATGAAATTAAAATAGGGCGCCTGGGTAGCTCAGCTCAGTCGGTTTAGTGGCTGACTCTTGGTTTTGGCTCAGGTCATAAATTCAGTTTGGGTTCGAGCCCATGTGCTGACTGCGTGGAGCCTGCCTGGGATTCTCTCTCTCCCTCTCTCTCTCTCTGCCCCTCCCCTGCTCTCTCTCTCTCAAAAAATAAATAAACCTTAAAAAAAAAATCCCTGCAGTCACCTCATGAGTTAGAGCATCTCTTTGGCAGGTGAGGAAACTGAGGCACAGCGAGATTAAATTGCTTGCTTGAGGCTGCACAGTGAAAGTGTTCCAGAGCGGGGATTCGAACCCAGGCCTCTGGCTCCACGGGCAGCCTCCTCCGCCCAGTGTCATGCTGTCTTGGCTGCAGGTAGAAGAGCTGGGCCTGGTTCCCCGCCTGGAGGGGGCTCCGCAGCCCAGGAGGAAGCATGGCAACGCCTGGGATGCTGGAGACCAAGGACTGGGCGCGGCTCCGGCAGCTCAACCTGGTGCTCCTGAGGCAGCTGCGGGTCGGACAAGATGCTGTGCGGCGGTCGGTGGCCAAGGCAGCCTCAGGGGTGAGCGCCCACCTTGAGGGCTCCCGGGGGCGGAGGGTGCGGGGAGGGGGCCGCCTGATCAGGCCGGAAGCCAGACCTCAGGTTCAGCGTGCCCAGGTTAGTGATGAAGGGAAAACTGAGGCCCGGCGAGGAAGGGACTGGCCGGGACATGCAGAGGCCGGAGCAGGAATGAGGACCCAGGCCTTCGTGCCTAGTGCAGGCCAGCTGGGTGTGGGACCGGGCCGCCCCGGTGACCTGGCCTCTCTGTTCCAGTCAGCATGGGACTCCAGCAGCAGCTGCGACTCCCAGGAGGCGTCCTTGATGGCCCCGAGAGCCTCCAGCCTTCGGGATACCCACCAGGGTGACCCCTGTGATATGTCGCGGCCTGGCGGGGCCAGCTCTGGAGTGACGTCTCTCCCACCTGCCACGCACCGACACCTGCCGTCCCTGGGTTCACTGAGGCCCTGCTCGGCCCCCCCACTGGCCGTCTCAGACCCAGATGACACAGAACTTTCAGGAGAGCTGGACAGTCCAGGACCTCAGGAGGCCCAGGCCCAGACCTCCATCCTGGGTCAACAAAGCAGGCTGTCCAAGGTAACACGGGAGAATGGAACTTCCTTGAACTTCAGTTTCCCTGTCTGACAGGCGCACCCATGGGCAGCCCTCCTTACAGAGTGAGAGGCTTCCAGAAGATGCCTCGAGTCAAGTCCAGCTCCCCATAGATGCTTGAAAAGTGGTGGTTGTTAGTTTCTCAGCACTTTGGGAAGAAGGTGATGAGCCCATTATACAGATGGGAAGACCAAGGCTCAGAGGGAACTTGGGGGCCGGTTCTTGTCTTCCAGCTCCCAGGTCCTTGGCCGAGCCCCGGAGTCCATGTCAGGGTGTAAGCTAAGACACGGCTCATTTCCTTCCCCCAAGGTGGGACCTCCTTCGGGCTGAGCCTTCAGGCCTAGTCTCTGTCCCTCTTTGTCTCCCTCCTCAGCCAAGAGTGACCTTCAGTGAGGAGTCTCCAGTGCCTGACAAGAGTTGGCGCCTCAGACCATACTTGGGCTACGATTGGATTGCAGGTATGGCCTCTTCCACGTATCTGTCTGAGCCCCTATCGGGGCTGAATGGATGAGTGAGAGCTGCCATATTCTTTAGTATTTATTGGTGTGAGGCCCCTGCAACGCTCCGTATGCACAGCACTCTGCATTTTACTGCCCACCCCCCCTACACCCCCACCCCCAGCAACCTCTGGCCCAGCTGCTCTCCCTTTGGCTTCGTCCACCCCATCAGTGTCCATTTTTGACATGGCAGCCAGAATGAATTTTTTAAACATGGCGATCAGAATACTTAGCCGTTAAAATAAAATCCCAAATCCTCATTTAGACTTAAGAGGTATGACCTAGCCTCAGTTAGTCCTGTTGACATGACCTCTACCTGTCCACCTTCCGGCTCTATGCTCCAGCCTCACTGGTCTCCTGGGTGGTCCTTGAACCTGCCACACTCATGGCTACCTCAGGGCCTTTGCACTTGCTGTCCCCACTGCCTGGCATGCACTTCCCCAGGTTCACACTCTGTGGTTCCTTCTCATCACTGAGGGCCCAGCTTAAAGGCTCAGCCTTCTTGCGAGCATAATGTAGGGCCACCGCCCCCTGCATCCCTGCCGGTGGCATTAGTCATTTGTATGTTCTTCGTACCATTTGTTCTCAGGAATCATCTTGTTTCCTTGGTTTGTTCTTTCTTTCTTTTTTTTCTTGAAGTTTTGATATATTTAAGTAATTATTACACCCCATGTGGGGCTTGAACTCACTACCCCGAGATCCTTCTCTTCCAACGGAGCCAGCCAGGCCCTCTGTGTTTCCTTGTTTCTTTTTTTTCTTTTCCAATTATTTTAATGTTTTACTTATTTTGGAGAGCAAGAGAGACAGCATGAGCAGGGAGAAGCAGAGAGAGGGAGAAGGAGGGAGAGGGAGACACAGAATCTGAAGCAGGCTCCAGGCTCCAAGCTGTCAGCACAGAGCCCCACGTGGGGCTTGAACCCACAGACCGCGAGATCATGACCTGAGCTGAAGTCAGATGCTCAACCAACTGAGCCACCCAGGCGCCCCTCCTTTGTTCTTATCTAGAACGTAAGCTTCATTTGAGCAGGGCCATGGCTGTCTTGGTGTATTTCCCAAGTGAGAGCCGGGGAAGGTGCGAGACACATGGCGGGCCCTCAGAAAACACTTGTTGAATGAGAGAGAGTGAATGGCCTGAAGAGGTGGGTGCTGTTTGGATCCTCCTTCGGCAAAGGAGGAAGCGGAGGCACAGAGAGGTTGAGCTACTTCCTGAAAGCAGGTGCTCCGTGGGGTGGCTGGGACCCAGGGGTGGCGTTCTTTCTTTTACTCCTATTCTCTCCTGTGCTTTTCACAGTGACCCTATCAGGTGGGTGCTGCTGCTGTCCCCATTGAGGGGTGACAGGGCTGAGCCACTTAGCGAAGTCTCCCCTCTGCTCGGGGGTAGAGCTGCGACGTGCTCTTTTCTATCCCGATGAAACGTGTCTCTTCATCTTACGTTTGCTTCTGGTTACTGCCTGTTTTCTCTGCTTTTCTTTATAACAGAACTTCTCGGAAGGGCTGTCCTGGGCTCACTGACTCCGGTTTCCCTCCCTCGCTTTTTCTGGGCTGGGCTCCGGCCCCTGACCCCCGCCGACACCATCCGGTCACCCGTGCGCTCTGTGTGGCCAGCGCTGGCCTCACTCTGCCCTTTGGCTTCCTGGCAGGCGTTAACTATTCGGTGTTGTGACATGGGTTTCAGTGGTGACTAGTTTGTTGCCACCATATTTATAAGGCTCACAAGGGTGTGGGGCGTCTGGGTGGCCCAGTCTTCTAAGTATCCAACTCTTGGTTGCATCTCAGGCGATGATCTCACGGTTCGTGAGTTTGAGCCCCGCGGCGGGCTCTGTGCTGACAGTGCGGAGCCTGCTTGGAATTCTCTCCTTCTCCCTCCGCTCCTTCTGCACGTGCTCTCTCTCTCTTTCAAAATAAAGAAATAAAACTTAAAAAAACCCAGTGTCTGGCCCCCACGAGGGGCTCCATAAGTGTGTCTTGCGTGGATGGTTGCATGCACGTCAGGGGTAGACACGCACGCGCGCAGTGAGCAGAGGGCCCCCTCCAGGTCTGTGGGGGGCAAAGCGCAAAGCAGGCAGACTGGGGTGCTGTGCCGAGCTCCCGGAGCCTCGGCCAGGGCCCACGCGGCAGCTCCCCGGTGCTTTGCCCGCTCCAGGGTCTCTGGACAGCACCTCGCCCATCACCAGCAAGCCCGAGGCCTTCTTCGCGGAGCTGCGGCATTTCCGGGAAGCCAGCAAGGAGGAGTGCGTTCACAGGGACCCCGAGTGAGCAGGGCTGGCCGAGGGGGTGGGCAGGGCGGCTCGGGGACCCCGGCGCGTGGCCCGCTCACCCCTTTCACTTCACAGGCCCCAGTTCCTAGGCCTCCGGGAGAGCAGTGGGGAGGAGCGAGACCACGAATGTGAGTGTCAATACGTAAATGCTCAGGAGCCTGGCCCGCGTCTGGCGGGGGGCAGGGGGGGCGGGCCTAGGGAAGCAGCTTGGGTGGCGGGGACTTGGGGAGGGAGGCCTGGGGTCCGGACACGGTGGGTGGAGCAAGCCCTGGGTGGGGGCCATGGCAGTGGGGGTGCACTGAGGCCTGGCCTTGCGGAGATCAGGGCCTGTCCGTTGTCACCTCACCTCTCGCCAGCTGCCTCCTTTCCTGTGTGACCCCTACTTCCTCCACCCGGCACTCTGGGGAGGCCTGGGGGGGGTGCCGGCTCAGTCACAGGAGCCCAGAGCCTTTGCTTCGGGTTTGTGTCTGCAGCACGTGGTGAGTAAGGAAAGGCTTACGTGTGAATGTGGGTGTGCCACGCACACTGTGTGATTGCCAGTTTAGGCACGTGCACGAGTGTCCGTGAATGTGACCGTACGGAGCCGTGCTTCGTGTTTGCACACGTCACATGGACGGGTGTGAAGGTGCTAGCGTGTGTGCATGTGCAAGCGTGTGTCCTCTGATCATGTGAGCGCAGGTGCGTGCACGTGTTCTGCACGTGTACATCTGTGTGCCTGTGCGTGTGTCCGATGGGCACCGGGGCCGTCGGGAGCCTGTGTGGTTGGGGCGGCGAGGGGGTCCGGGGATCCGGGCCCCCGGCCGAAGGGAGCTGCCGCTTCTCATGGCCCCGCAGGCGTGTACTGTTACCGTGTCAACCGGCGCCTCTTTCTGGTACCTTCGGATCCTGGCACCCCCTGCCGCCTGTGCAGGACACCCCGGGACCAGCGGGGCCCCGAGACCCTGGCGGAGCCCGCACAGGTCAGGTGAGTGGTCAGAGCAGGTAGGACAGCTGGAGGCAGTCAGAGGGGCGGCAGCGGCCGAGGAGAGGAGCCAAGCCTGAGGCCCGCCAGCCTTGAGGGAAAGCTGGGTCTGGGGCTGTGGCTCCACTGCTGCCCGGAGGTGCCCAAGCAACCCCTTCTCTGCCCACCGCCCCACCCCCAGGGTGAGCGTCCCACTGTCTGTTCTGGACCCGCCGCACCAGCACCGCATCCACCGGCGGAAGAGCTTCGATGCCTCCGACACGCTGGCCCTGCCCCGGGTGAGCAGCGAGTGGGGCCTGGGCGGAGCTGGGCATGGGGCCCGGGTCTCCAGGCGGATCCTGAGGCCCAGAGAGACCACAGACTGTCTCAGGGCCACACAGCGTGGTCCCTGGAGTTCCGGCTAGGCCACTTCCATCACCTGTATTCTGCTCGTTCCCTGTTCCCCACCTGCGGCGGGGCTTCCAGGATGCGTGTGCCCACGTGCTGGTGTGACACACACGGGTGCCATTTATTGAGCTCTCGTGTGCTGTGTGTGTGTCCTTAGGAGGGTGACGTCATGGAGCCCTCATAGCCGAGTTTGCGGGGCCTGTTGCTGTCCCGCTGTCCAGATGAGGAGACAGGGCAGAGGGAGGGCGCTGGCCTCGGGCCAGCAGGTGGAAGAGCTGGGATTTGAATCCAGCTCCTTAATGTTTCCATAGTGTCTCTTGTAGAAACGTTCTTTGTGTCTCCTGGGTAAGTGTGGGGGTCAGCGGGGACCCCTCTCCCAGTTGAGGCTGGGGAAGCGGGGATTGGTGGGGAGAGAAAGGATGCTGAGGGCAGTTAGCCTGCTCATCTGTAAAATGAGTGCAGCATACGGTCCTCAGAGGGGGGCGGGGGGTGGGTGGTTCAGTGAATCAGTACCGTCAGGGGCAGAGCCCGGCACAGCTGGAAGTGCTCTGTCCGCATCCACGGCCTTCCCTCCTCCCCTCTCAGCCGGGGGCCCAGGGCCTGGGTCAGCCCGTAAGGAAAGGGAGGCCTGGGGTAACCTCGTGGGAAGAAGGGGACCCCTGCGCTGTGGGAGCCGCAGTCTGCAGAGGACACCGCGACTGTTTGGGCCCCATCTAGGGGATGCAGGCGATCCCAGGAGGGCCACAGCCCCCTCCCTGGGGTGCGCCCTATCAGGGGGGAGCTCTGCCACAGGCCAGGTGCCTTAACCCCTTGCTCTCCACAGCACTGCCTGATGGGCTGGGACATTCTCCCTCCGAAGCCTGAGAAAAGCTCAGCCCCCAAGAGCCTCGACCTCTGGTCCTGTGTCTTCTCCGAGCCCCAGCACCGGAAGCTGTTGGCTGCCAGCCCTTCCCACCCGGTATGGCCCAGGGTACCCCAGGAGGGACAGATGCCTCGGAGTAGGCCTGGGGTCTGTGGAGTCCCCGGGAAGGGGGGGGCAGGGAGTAATTGGAGTGGGGAGTGCAGAGTCTGGAAGCATCTCTGCAGGGTCCCATCCCCCCGGCTCACAGCACCCTTCCAAGCTCTGCTGCTCCTTGCCAGCTACCCCACCCTCCCCAGGAAGGAGGACGTGGGAACTGGGGGTGACTTCCAGAGTGGTGCCCTCTGACACCCCTCCCCATTCACCATTCCAGGCAACACGAGTCCCACCTTCTACCCCATTCTGGTCGGAACTGCAGCCCCGCGCCCCCCGGCTGAGGCCCTGAGGACTGGCCACCCTGAGGAAGAGTGAGCCCCTGTCATCCCCTCTACTCCCTCTCCTCCGGCTGGGCGCCCACCAGAGGGGGGCCCTGCCTGGCTTTAGCTGGAGGTGAACGCAGGCCCCACCTTCCTGGGCCGGGCAGGTGGGACGGGCCCAGGCCTTTCTTCTTCCTGGAGACAGAGGTGGGGACTCCAGGGTTGGGGGGCATGTTTGTAAATAAAGCTTGGTGCTCTGTGCAGCCCCGATTCCCACGCGTGCTGGGTCTGTCCTGCTGATGCCCTCAGTGCCCAGTAGCTGCCCTGGCAGCGGGCTGGTCCCCTCGCCTGGGCAGAGACTCATCTGACAGCCTGCACCGGGCCGAGTGGATCCGATGCCCCAAGTTTGGTTCGCGGTGCAGCTTCCAGCTCTGAGTAGATGGGTTCCCAGGTGGGAGGGAGGTGCTTGGACCCTGGGGGGGGGGTGTTGGGAGGAACCAGAGTCGCCACCACAGGCACCGGCACCAGTGGGGAAGCCACACCGATGGGGAAGCCACACCGATGGGGAAGCCGATGGGGAAGCGGAGAGCCAGGCAGGGAGGTGGAGGGGTGGAGGCAGGGTTGGCGGAGAGCGCAGATCCCGCTCCTGGTTTAACAGCCGGTGTCTGTGTCCCCATAGATTGAACAGTACGAAATTCCCGTGTTTGTAAGATGAATGTGGAATAAATGAGGAACCGAAACCCAGAGGAGGCACCTGGCTTTTCTGAGGTTTCCCCACTTTGAGGGCTGGAAGTAGGGTTGTGGTCTCCTGTGGCTTCCACAGGAAGCCGTCACGGCTGTGACGCCGGGAACACGTGGTCCCCCCCGCGCCCCCGCTCCTCCCCTCCCCCGTTGCTCACATCACACGTGTGAACCAGGGTGAGGGAGGCTCTGCCGAAGTAACTGCTGACCCCCTAGTGGCTGGCTTCTGTGGGTCCAATGTCTCCACAACCTCACCCAATGCTTCTTTTCTGCCCTTTTTAACTTTTTTTTAATGTTTTATTTATTTCTGAGAGAGAGAGAGAGAGAGAGAGAGACAGCGTGAGCAGAGGAGAGTCAGAGAGAGAAGGAGACACAGAATCGGAAGCAGGCTCCAGTCTCTGAGCTGTCAGCACAGAGCCCGACGCGGGGTTCGAACCCACCAACTGTGAGATCATGACCTGAGCCAAGTCAAACACTTAACCGACCGATCCACCCAGGCGCCCCTTTCTGCATGTTTTATGCATCCTAATGGGTGTGAGGCAGTGTCTCACTGTGACTCTGTTCTGTATTTCCCTGATGATCGTGAACGCGGAGGCTTTTTGTTTGTGCTTATCAGCCTTTCATGCATCTCCTTCCGAGAACTGTGCATCCAGGTCCTTGGCTTATTTTCAGATCTGGTTGTTTGCTTTTTTTCATGTTGTTTAACATGTAATTGTAAGTCAGAGGGCCTGTGGGAGTCCGTGGTTTTGGTAGAAATTCTTTGGCCAGAGGGAGAAGAGGTTCTGAACACTCTGTGTCAAATGAAAATTAAAAATTTACAACCGAGATCAGCTCCTAAGTTCAGCTGATTCAGAATAACCACAGTTTAAACAAGACAGAAATGTTCCCCACAAAAGTCCAGACTGCAGTGCTGGGTCCTTTATGTCCTCCGGGTAAGTGGTTTTTCTGCAAGGACAATTCTTTCGAAAATGTGGGTTTCACCTGGCTGTAGTCGCTTCCGTGTGCGAGAAACCACCCCCTTGGGCTCCTGGCCCTGGGTCACCGGTGCCGACCAGACTCCCCCTTCTTTTGTGTCCAGGAAAAGTGCTAACTGACACGCACCACGGCTGTGAGCTAATGCTAATTTCAGACGTGTTAAAATGTGAAGGAATTAGCATCTTAGCACTAATGAGACGCACGGCCTCGCACGGCCTCCGGGCTCTCTGTGTGCTGACTCCTGGGTTCCGTGCACCCCTAGCGGTCTCAGTGGCTTCCCGGGGCCCGTCTGGGGCTTGGAACACAGCAGCCTTAACTCGATCTTCGGTGCTGGTCACCTGGCAACGTTTCAGGGAGGCTGAGGAGGGCTTGGCCCCGGGCTCCTATACTGCCCTCGCGGCCTCTCCCCAACTGTTCGTGTGGCTGCTTCAGTCTGGGGACTAGGCCTGTCTTCAAGCCTAAGGGGCCCCAAGAATGAAGGTCACAGGCAGAGACCTCTGGACAGAGCTTTGCGCCTCCCAGGCCAGCAGCCTCCCGCCCCGCAGCCGTCCTGCCCTCCCAGCTGCCCGCAAGCCATTCCCAGTTCTTCAGGCCCCCCTCCCCCCCGGGGTTGCCCGGGCTTCTTGTCCCGTACCTTCAGCCCTTCTAGCTCTTACCCAGCCTTCCATATCTCAGCTGCTGAGCCCCTCAGACGGGGCCCACGGCTCACACGCCTCCCCTCCCCCGCACCGGGCCGTCTCAGGCCCTACGCCTTCCCAGATCCCTCCTCCTGAGGTTCCTTGCCGTGTGTCTCTCTCCTCTGCTAGAATTTAATGACTTCAGGAGAGCCGAGGTAGTTATTTTTTTCTTCCTTGGGATGGTTTCCCTCCTATTTTCTCAAAAGGCGTGGCTGCCCTGTATTCAGGATTTGGTGTTTTCCTCTCGCCTGGCTGCCCACCTGCATCGTGAAGGTGATAAGGATGCTCTCATTTCTCTGCACTGAAGGAGACTTACGGTTGGGCCCACACAGGGAGACGTCTTACAGGTTTCTCCCTCCTCCTGCAAATTAATAGCGTTAAAAAAAAAAATTTTTTTTAATGTTTTATTTTTTTGAGACAGAGGTAGAGCATGAGCAGGGGAGGGGCGGAGAGGGAGGGAGACACAGAATCCAGCTCCAGGCTCTGAGCTGTCAGCACAGAGCCCGACGCGGGGCTTGAACCCACGACCTGAGCCGAAGTCTGACGCTTAACCGGCTGAGCCACCCAGGCGCCCCGATAGCGTTCTTTTTCTTTGTTCTCCAAGTATGTGGCATAAATCCCGAAGGCAAAAAGCAAGACCACCTATGTCTTCCCAACCTGATGTCTTGTGTTTGTCACTTAGAAATAGGAACGGGGGCTGGGGGCACCTGGGTGGCAGTTAAGTGTCCAACTTCAGCTCAGGTCATGATCTCACACAGTTCAGGAGTTTGAGCCCCATGTCGGGCCTGCTGCTGACAGCTTGCCGAGCCCTCTTCTGATGCTCTGTCCTTTTTCTCTGTCCGCCCCTCACTGGCGTTCTCTCTAAATAAACATATTTTAAAAAATTATTTAAGGGGCGCCTGGGTGGCTTAGTCGGTTAAGCGTCCAACTTTCGCTTGGGTCATGATCTCGCGGTTCATGGGTTCGGGCCCCGTGTCGGGCTCTGTGCTGACTGCCAGCTCAGAGCCTGGAGTCTGTTTCAGTCTGTGACTCCCTCTCTCTCTGACCCTCCCCTGCTCACGCTGTCTCTCTCTCTCTCTCTCTCCTAGAAATAAATAAAACATTAAAAAAAATAAATAAAATAATTTAAAAGAAGTTAGAACAGGGGCACCTGCCTGGCTCAGTCGGTGGAGCATGTGATGCTTGATCTCAGGGTCGTGAGCTCAAGCCCCACCTGGGGTGTAGACATTACTTAAATAAATTAGAAAAAAAAAGAGCAGAGGGACTGACCTCGGTTGCCTGTACCGCAGCCTAGACACATGGACCCCGCGCACGTCATCCATTCATTTGCTCACTTCATTCCCCGTGTGTGCATCGAGCTCCTGCTGTGTGCCGGCCTGCGTCCCGGCCCTGCAGGGCGAGCGGTGAACCTGACAGTGGTGACGGCGGTGCCCTGCCCCCACAGAGCCCCCGGGCAGGGGCAGGGACATGGACTGAAAGAAGCCAACTCTGTAACGTGTGACGTGGTGGTGAGTGCTGACCGCCTCTCCTCTCTTCTGCATCTCCCGTCCCGCCCCTCACAGACGAGGCTTCAGCCCTGCGGAAGCTTTTTTTCTAGGTCTTAAACCTGCCCCTGCCCCCGGCCTCCGAGTCTGGATCCATGCAGCTCCTTCTGCCCAGAATTCCCTTCCCACCGCTGGACTGCTCCAGCCTCCGCTTCCGCATCTGCCCGTCAGAGGCCTCCCGCGATCTCACAGAACTGGCTAAGGCCCCCCGAGTCTGAGACCCGCCTCGGCTCACACCTGTCGTAGCTTTACACCGAACAGAAGATGCTGGGGGGCAGGCACTGGGCCCAGACTTGTCCTCAGGTCTGTCCTAAAACAGCATATGGCACGTGGTTGGTGTTCAATAGTAGATGGTGGATGAGTGAATCAATGAGCCCCTGGTTCTGGGGAAGACAGAGGCCACACAGCCCTGGGACCTGAAGACAGTGTGTCCCAGGGGGTTGGCACCGGTAAGCAACCTGTGACTGTTACTAGTTTTCAGTACATCATGTTGTCCTATGTCTCGGGCGGTTCATGGGGGTCTGGCCTCCTGCGATGGGATGTGGGGGGCGGCTGGGGACACTGTGACATCTCCATCCTGAGAACAGGGCCCTAACTGGTAAGACAGGACAGCTGTCCCCAGCTCTTCATGTCCCCCACCCCGTCTTGTAGGAAGACCGGTGCCGACTGGACGGGGCCCAGCCCTCTCGGTTCACACTTCCTTGTGCGCCCTTCCCTGGGGGGCTGTGGGAGCCCTACAGTGTGGGGTCTATGGGCTTAAAGCCTTGTTCCCCCAGCTGCTCTGGGGGCTGCTGCTGAGAGCAAGTGGGTGACAGAGCAGTCCTGTCCTTGGGGCTCTGCCTGCAGGGAGTGGGACGGGCGAAGTCAGCCACAGGCCCGCAGGTGACCAGGGCCTTCCCCAGGGCTGGCGTCCCAGGCGTGAGGGTAGCCGGCCAGGCTGTGCAGGAAGTCCTGAGGGGAAGCCAGGGCTCCAGTGGATCAGGCTGTGGCCAGTGGGGGTGGCCTGAGGTTGGGCCTCGCTGACTGGGTGCCTGAGGGTGGCTTGTGTGGCCTTCGGGGACATCCCCCTCTCGTGGCACCAGGCTGAGCCCTGACCACAGGGTACTTCTTTTCAGGTCCCCTTTGTCTGATGGGAGGTGGCAGGGTTTCTCTCTCCTTCTTCAGAAGCCGCCAAAACAGCCTCTGCAAGTCACCAGAGTCCTCCCTGCCTTATGGCAAGGCAGCAGTGGGTCTGGGTGCTGAAGGGACCATTCTCGGCCACCCAAGACTGGGAATCCATGGGATCTCAGCTGGCAAAGAAGGGGAGGGAGACTTGGAGAATTTTCCAGATCTCA